CTTTCTATCACTGTATCTGGTGTCCAGGACATCCTGGGCCTCTCCAGGTGTGTGTATGCACCATGTCTGAGGCCTCCCCTCTCTTTCCGTCACTGTGTCTGATGTCCAGGACATCCTGGGCCTGGAGATGTCAGACCTGGAGTCTCAGGATCTGGGCAGTGAAGACCCCGTTCCAGAGGAAGACGGCTTTGGTGACGTTCTGTGGGACATCCACGACGAACAGGAGCAAATGGACGCTGCCCAGCAGGCTTCACACTCAGCCCAGGAGCTGGGATTCGACAAGGTCAGCATGCGGGGTGTGGCTGAACGAAGGACGTGGTCACCTCAGGCAGTGCTGGGTGTGGTCTTGTCTGGGTAAGGGTGACCCCTCTGCTGCTGTCGTGGTCCAATTCTTAGTGATGGGCAGTGTTTAGATTTCGATCAGGGGACATGGAAGGGGTTGTCAAAACACTTTGCTGATAGATTACACCTCGTAAACAAAAGCATCTCATACCACCATCTGCAGCTCACCCAAGGCACAATTAGGTCTCATCCAAGCTCAATCCAAACAGCCTGGCTGTTCCTTAGTTCTTGGAAGAATCTCTCCCTCTCACTGCCGTCGAGTCAGAACTGACCCATAGCTGACCCTCCAGCAGGTTTTCAGAGGCGGTGAATTGCCCGGGAGGAGATTGCGCATCCTTCTCTCACGGAGCAGCTGGAAGATTTGAACCACCTGCCTTGAGTTGTCAGTTCCCTGACCTCCAGGCCACCAGAACATCAGACATTCAGAAAACACATGTCAGAAGGTTATGCCTGAGTGCACTAGGCAGATTCGCCCCTTTTTATGGCCCTAATCAGCACCTTTAAATCTAAACAAAGTTACAGAATGTGAAGCTCAATTTGTGTTCAAGTTTTAAAACTACTTAATGTCTAAGAACTCATATTTAAAGAATACTGCAGTTGCTAGCCTCAGAAGTTATAATTAGGCAGTGTTCCCCCATTGCACATCTGAACTTGATGCCACTCTTTCCTGACTGCAGAGGTCAAATGTCTTACTCTAAACTTTGACTTCTCTGTAAGATGAGAAGAAGAATAGTACTTATTTCTTACTGCGCTCTCGTGGCAACCCAAGGGCAGGTGGTTCGAATCCACCAGCTGCAACATGGGGAAAGGTGAGCAGGCTTCTGTTGCTAGTCACAGCCTCAGAAAACCCACTGCATTTTCTGGGTTCAGCTGGGATTGGGATCACCTCAGTGACAGTGAATACCTCACAAAGTTGTGGGAGGATTAAACCAGAAAGCGCTGTGGGCACAATCCCTGGCACATAACTAACGTTGAACAACTGTGTACTTGTCATTTTATGAGCACTAGCATGACTTTATTGGTGGACAAGCTGAGGTTCAGGGGATGGCTTGTCTCAGGGCTCCTGGGGGTCAGGGAGAAGCCCAGCATTGGGCTCTAGACCTCGGGTTCCACATCTTGGGTTCTTCCTCTTCTAGCAGGGGTCTTAACTGGAAACTATGGGGTCTCAAATGGGTTTGAGACGGAGCCATGATGCAAGCTGTTAGGATGTGTGGCTAACAAACCTTTTTCTTCAGAAGCATCGTTGTTACCAGAGTTGTTTGGGGCCATAGGTGAATATCTTTAAGAACATGCATATTCTATATTTAGACATGGCAGAAGAATTGAGTAGACAGATACACTAAATAATCATTCCTGTAGTTGCTAGAAGCAAGTCCATTGCAAACCCTGTGAGGCCTTCCCCCCATCCTCCGGGCCACTAGCACACGTAATAAAAATCTTAACCCCTGTGGGACCCTCTGAAGGACAAGGAAGAATTCAAGATACTAAAGAGCTGAATAGAAGTTTCCAAAGGCAGCACGGGATGACAAAACAAAATATTACAATGAAATGTGCAAGGAGCTAGAGTTGGAAAATCAAAAGGGCCGAACTCATTCAGCATTTCTTAAGCTCAAGGAACTGAAGGACAAATTCAAACCTTGAGTTGCTATAATCAAGGATGCTTTAGGCAGAATATTAAATGATCCAGGAAGTATCAAAAGAAGATGGAAGGAATATACTGAGTCATTGTATCGAAAGGAATTGGCAGATACAGAAGAATTTAATGAAATAACATTTGAGCAAGAGCCTATAGTGATAAAGGAAGAAGTT